TTGGGACCTGCAGTGGAAGGGAGATGTCCACAAGCGGATGAGTTCAACAGTCTCATTGGGAATGGGACTTGGGAGCTTGTTGAGTTACCCGAGGGGCGACGGCCGATCAGCAGCAAGTGGGTCTTCACAGTGAAGAGTGGTGCTGATGGTGCGCTAGAGCGGTTCAAGAGCCGTTTGGTCGCCAAGGGGTTTCTGCAGAAGGAGAAGGTCGACTTTGGGGAGATCTTCGCTCCCGTTGCTAAGCCATTGACACTGAGGACTTTGATGGCTGGCGCAGCTGTGAAGGGATGGCACGTGAAGTAGATGGATATCACCACTGCATTCCTCAATGGAATACTACTGGAGGATATCTACATGGCGCAGCCCGACGGCTATGATGATGGGACCAGCCGGGTGTGCAAGCTTAAGAAGGCCATCTATGGCCTTAAGCAAGCGCCCAGGTGTTGGTACGAGAAGCTGGAGGAGGTGCTGCTGGGTGGAGGCTTCAAGACGTCCCACGCAGATCACAGCTTGTTTCTTCTTGGAGAGGGGGAGCAGTTGCTTTTGCTGCTGGTGTATGTCGATGACATACTGCTGTTCTCACCCTCCATGGAGCAGATTGAGAGGACACAGAAGCTGCTGATGGACAACTTCAAGTGCAAGATGCTAGAGGATGTCCACTACTACTTGGGGCTGCAGATTGAGAGGGATGTTGAGAGGAGGTGGCTGAAGGTGCATCAGTCACACTACATCTCTGGTGTCATGGAGCGGTATGGTGTGACTGGGGGTTGCACTGTGATGACACCGTTCCCTGCAGGCTTCAAATTGAAGAAGGCAGCAGAGGAGGATGATGTGCTTGAGGATGAGCAGCAGAATGAGTACCAGTCACTCATTGGGAGTGTGATGTATGCAGCTGTGCATACGCGACCTGATGCTTCATTCGGAGTGGGGCAGCTGGCCAGAGTTGTGCAACGGCCCACTATGAAGCAGTTGGAGGTGGCAAAGCGCTTGGTGCGCTACCTCGGGTCAACAGCATCTGCTGGTGTTCAGTTTTCAGCTGGCGGCCAGCTGAAACAGATTGGAGCAGATGGGGTCACGCCTGGTACCTTGAAGCTGTCGTGCTTCACCGACGCCACATGGGCCTCAGAGGATGAGGATCAGTCATCGGTTGGCGGCTTTGTGTGCATGGTTGGAGGTGGACCAGTGACCTGGAGGTCCAAGAAGCAGAGTGAGATTGCTCAGTCTTCTGGAGAGGCAGAGTACATGGCGATGTACCATGCCATCAAGGAGATCGTGCTCCTAAGGAAGCTGTTGGAGGACATGGGAGCTGAACAAGAGGGACCTACACCACTTTTCTCCGACAGCGAGGCTGCTATTGGCATGGCCAATAATCCTATCCTGAATGGGCTGAACAAGCACATGAAGATTAAGTGGCACTGGGTGAGGCAGGTAATGAAGGAGGGAGCTGTTGAGCTTCACCATGTGAAGGCTAGCAAGCAGGCGGCAGATTTTCTCACCAAGAGACTTCCCAAGAGCGCACATTGGAAGTGTGCTAAGATGTGTGGCATGGCATTGCACTAGTGAGGGCAGCAGTGTCATGAATGCATGTGTGATTGTGTGCATGAGACTATGCATGCGTGTGAGTGTGTGTGCATGCCGTCCATTAGTCTGAGGGGGAGTTTGTTGGATGCACGTCATTCTGAGTGCATGTCATCCTAACGTCCTGCCGAGTGCTCGTGCTTTTCATGCGTGCATTGTTTGTATGAGCGTATGTCATTGTGCATGGCTGTTGGATATTATCATCTCTGTGTTTTTCTCCAAGCCTAAATGCTTGATCATGCAGGAGAAATCCAGAGCTTTCCAACGACACCAAGATCGCCTTATTCCGACCAAGATCGCCCAAGTTACAAGATTTCCAAGATTTGGATTTCTTATTACCTTTTTGGGGTTATATCTAATTTGGGTGATTACTTTGTACATGACTATAAAGGGATCCTTGGTTGGGTGGTTAGGAAGCCAACTTTGACTTTTGGATTGGGGTGGCTAGAAGTTTCTAGCATGGGTTGCAAATGTTGCAACACCTAGGCAAAATCCAACTAGATTGGATTTTGCATGTGACACCTCAAGGACCTCATGATGAGGGTTGCATCCTTGCTGCTAGGAAGGTTCTTACCATCCTTCCCTAGCTCTTGGAGAACCCCTTCCCTCTCATGGTTCTCTTGGAGGTTCCCAACTCCAACTTTCTATGCCTTAATGCTTGTACTTCCTCCACCATTCTAGTGATGCGGCTGCTGGACGTTTTTACATGGTTCTCACTCTCTAGACCATCTTAACAACTGATTCAACTTGGAGATGGTAGCTAAGCCTAAGGCGCACAATCCTACCGAGCGGATTTGCGTTTAGTTGAGTAATGAGTTCGTCGTAAGTTCTCAAATTGACAGATCCTGAACAACAGGTTCAACTTAGATTAATAAGCGCCCTTCACTAACGCCGCACGCCAAGGCGAGTATACGAACGCAAATATCAACGACGATGGAAATCTATGCATGTTCGTTCCACGCTCACCGCACCATGAAGGAATATATTAGAGAGCGTAGCGATAGCGAGAGAGTCTCTGCTATGGGAATGATGTTGCCCCAGCAACTTGGTAGAGTTTTGGTAGCGTTTGCCTCTAAGGACTTTGTGAGAATTGAGGTAGCATTTGGGCCAAGTAGAATTGCAATATCAATTATCAAACACACAAGCAAACACAAACATATATAGGCAAGCAAGAGTTGCACAATTGTTGCGTGGCACTGCGAGTAACCCAACCCACACGAAAGTGCTGTGCTGGTGGGTGAACGCGCCCCGCACATTTCCAACCCAACTCGGCACCGGAATGTCTCACCGTGCACGCTACTCCTGCCAACACCGCAAGTGAGCAGCGTGCCTCACAAGCAAGGCACCCACGACCCCCAAGACTCGTCATTCCTAGCACCGATTCCGCCGAGTTCGCTGCAGTAGCTCACAGTCACCCGTAGTCACTAATGACCGCCACCGAACTCGTGCGTCGTTGCCGAGTAGACTCAGTCGTTAGGCGCGGACCTGCCAAGTCAAAGGTCATCGAGGGCTCTTGCTGTCGTAGGGCCCTCTAACAAGCAACGTCGCCCCGCACAAGCGCGGACGCGGCATAGAGTGCGGGGAGAGAGACGAGGACCAACGCGAGGACGAACACGGTGCGAAGAGTAGCCATGGTGACGAGCGATTTAGAGTGCGTAGGAGCGTCGTATTATTGAGGAGAGCACTGCGAACGACGATGAAGATCAGATTTGGGTGATTTTCGAGCCCTGACTAAAGCACTCAGTTGGTGATGGTGGATGGCGGAATGGAGGCGACTTAAGTAGCGGAGAAAGAGGAGGAGGAGGAGGCGAGGGTGGCGGAGCTATTCGCAGTTGGTTCGCCAGCATGATGGTCGCCCTCCCAGCATCGCGCGATTATTGCAGCCATGGCTCCGCCGCAAAACGCGCAACATCCGGAGAAAGCTGTACTACTTCTGGGGTGTGGCAGAGGCAGTCGAGTTGGACGGCAGCGCGGCAATAATGGATTGGTTCAACTCATCGCCTCACTGACATAGGGTCTCGCCTCGCCAGGTCGCCAACAAGGGATTTTTTCGAGAGTAGAAGGTGAGGGTTGGGTGGGGAGGAGAGGAGAGGAGAGTGCCGTCTGTACCGTCGTACGCGGTAACCTAGTTCTCTCATTATTGTTCGCATCATGGCGCCGAAAAATGCGCAAAGAGAGACTGTCGTGTGGGGCGTTGGATGCGGCATACTGGTCAACGAGGACTTGAGTCGAGAGCTCAATGCCAAGAGAGCTCCGAGATCAGCGGCGGCAAAAATGGCTTCTGGTGGGAAAGAGTTTTTCGAAGGAGACGAAGTGTGGGTGTTCGGGAGCGTGTTCAGCGGGAGAATGGCTTGTGTGCTACCAGCTCTAGTCGAACACCAGTAATTTCGATGATGCTTCGGCGAATGGCTCGACAAGAAGCATAACCAGTTACTTTTGTAAAAATGGTCGGGCAATCCAAACTTCCAGTGTTCAAACGCATGCATCTAGAAAATGTCATCGAACGAAGCCCAGGTAACATCTCGTTTTGTTTCTCGTCGACCGATTCGCTGATACGTTGTTGGGCTCGTTGCTTTCGTTGGGATCGAGCTGGCTGGGAAACCAGCCCTTCTCCAAACCGAACACGCTCCCGAGTCCCGAGCACTCCCTCCATCCGTCCTCCCCTCGACAAACAAGTACCCGCTGAGAGCCATTATTCCCGAACTGCCATCGATCTCGGAGCTTTCCTCTCTTACGTTTAGCTCTCAAACCCATGTGCACAGCAGTGTGTGTCCTCGTTACCAGCGTTGCTGCATCCCAACGCCTCACGCGCCAGTCGCTCTTTGCGCGTTGTGCGGCGCCATGATGCGAGCAATAACTGCGAGCTGCTGGAATGAGATTAGGTACTGCCGCTATGGTACACGGAGCGCACTCCTTTCCCCCCACCCTAGCCTCACCCCCTGCTCTCGAAATTTACTTCCTTGGCGATCGGACGACGAGATCGGGCGAGATTGGGCAAGTAACCTGTTTGATATTTGAAATCAATTTCCAGCCATTATTGCGGCCGCGCTGCCGTTCACACCAAGTACTCAACTTCGAGTCGGACTCTACCGTAGCACGCGCTAGCGTGGACACCAGAAGCCCTTTCCACATGTTGCGCGTTGTGCGGCGGCAATAACAGCGAGCTGCTGAGAGGAGACCATGGCGAACCACCTCTGCAGCTCTCTCCACCTCATCGCCGGCTGCGAATCCCTTCACGATCCCTCGCCTCCTCCTCGTACTTCGCCGCAGTACTTAAATCGCCGCCATTCCACCATTCGCCACCACCAACTGAGTTACTTCTCCCACTGCTCGAAAATCACCCGAATCTGATCCGCATCATCGCTCGGGGCTACTCTTAGAATCCGACACCACTTTCACGCTCTCTTATAACGCTCGTTGCCATGGCCACTCTTCGCTCCGCGTTCATCCTCGCGTTGGTCCTCGTCTCTCTCCCTGCGCTCTATGCCGCGGTTGCGCCACTGCAGGGTGACGTGGCTGGTGGAAGTGCAGGCGTGGACGCGGCGAGTTGGGGGCGCAAGCTGCTGGAAGCGAGCGGTGGTGACCTGGACGTGGGTGGCGAGGAGGAGGAGGTGGGGGAGGCGACGGACGGGCTGGACGAGGCGGTGCGGGTGCTGCTGAACTGGAAGAAGATCAAGAGCGGGATCAAGAACGCGGCGAATCAGGCGGCAAAGAGCGAGGCGGGGCGGAAGGCGGGAGGGTTGGTGAAGAATGTGGTGAAGAAGGGCGGCAAGGAGGCGCTCACGGCTGCAGTCAACGCGTTCTGCAGCGGCAAGGGCGCCAAGGGTGCCCTGCAGGCGGGCGCTGGCTCATTCGTCAACACCGCGAAACGATGATTTAAGTGGGAGATGGGAGGGGAAGAGGCACTGCGGAGTGGAGATGTGCAGCGGGAGACAACGCTGCTTCTGCTGCTACTAGTGCCTCCTTTGCTGTTGCTGTGGTTGCTGATGTGGCTTACAGGTGGCACAGTGTGCAGAATTGGTTGCTGAATAATTCAGGCTTGGTGATGCTGGGAGAGGTATATGTGTGTGTGTGTGTGGGTGGAGGGATTAGGTGGTGCGTGTGAGTGAAAGGGTTAGGTGGGCTGGTAGTGGATCCGGGCGTGCCTTTGGTTGCTTGGTGATGCTGCGTGTGTGGGTGTGTGGGGCCGGGTGTGGGTTGTGATGCTGGTGTGGTCTGTGGCTTTTGTGATGCTGTAATTTCAGATGCTTCTTCTACCGTAATCCTGCTGAAGCTAGTGTTGGTTGTGGAAACGTTGTGTATGCTGTATTTGACACACAGCAAGAACTCACTAAACACATTAGGCATTAGCCTTGCACAAGCATTTGGATCGTCTCTCGAGATTCGACATACGGTAGCACTCGTACTACCTTGTTGGTAATACCGTACTGAATGTAGAAACCATACTAAGATTAGAATGTGAAGAAGTTTGATGCAGTCTTGTAGTAGTACGGACTTGTACCGAGTAGTTGTTGTAACGGGTCACTGTTTGCCGTACCTTGCTAAAGCCCCCGACCCAAATAGTTCATGTCTTTAAAACATGTCGGGGAGGGAGTTCTTCCAATTGGGTTGTGGCGAGAGTGTCAGAAACTAACGAGCAAGGATGGTTGTACCCCGTATAGGCTACCCCACTACAACCTACACAACATAAGTAGCATTATGGTTTGACACACCCCATAGGCAAAGTGGGGAAGAATATGGGGCCAAAAGACCAGTCAAGAAAAGCAAAGCAAGCTCAGGGTGGATCACGAAGTCACCACACACTCTGAGCACAAGCAAATGGCCAGAAGGCCGGTCCACATGCACAGTTATATAGAAGACAGCAAAAAGTACAGTGATCTGTCAAACTATATATGCTAGTTATGTATAAACTATAGTGGGGTAGCCCATATGGGGTACAATCCAATGTTAGGGTTAGTATTTGTACCTACAATGCTTTCAATGCACTCATTCTAGCTTCTCATTCTGACATGGTTTCAGAGCAGTAGGTCCGTAGGACCGTTTTTTTTCGGGCCCACCATTCCGACTGCGGTTACCACGTTACCCCACTGCCCTACCCCGGGCCGCTCTGACCCTGCGAGTGCCACCTGCGCACTGCCCCAGTTGGCCGCACACCACTGATGCAGCGCGCGTTTTCTCTAGCGCGCTGCCCCGCCGACCCCCTGTAGCCCCGCATGCTGCCTGCCCCTGCCGCGGCTCCCTACTACACCCCGCGCGTCGGCTGTCGCGCTGCCTCGCAGCCCCGCGCTCCGCCCGCCCTACTGCCGCGGCTGCCCGCTACGCCCTGCGCCCGGCCGGCCGCCTGCAGCCTCGCGCACCGCCTGCCACAGCCGCGGCCGCCCGCTACGCCGAGCGCGCCGCCCGCCCTGCTGGCCCGCCGGCTGCCTGCTGCCCCACGCGCCGCCTGCCACTGCTGCGGCCGCCCGCTTCGCCCAGTGCGCCGCCCGTCCTGCTCCCCCGCCGGCCGCCTGCTGCCTCGCGCGCCGCCTGCCACAGCCGCGGCCGCCTGCTACGCCCAGCGCGTTGCCCGCCCTACTGCCCCGCCGGCCGCCTGCTGCCCTGCGCGCCGCCTGCCACCGCCGCGGCCGCGCGCTACGCCTCGCGCGCCGCACCTTCTGCTGTCCTGCCGGCCGCCTCCTGCCCCGCGCGCCGCCTACTGCTGCTTCGGCCGCCTGCTAGGCCCCACGCGCCGCCTATTCACTAAGCCCGCGCGCCGCCTCTGCGCCTGCCCCTATTGTGGCCACCCACTTCAGCCCAGCGCGCCGCCCCTGCTACTGCTGCTTGCCTGCAATCGCTCTGCCCTGCCAGTACCGCGCCAGCAGCTATGGCCACCCTCCGCGTACTGTCGTTCGATACTGAGGGCTGCCTGATTCAATTTGAGACCTTGCTCGATGACCTGCAGCTGTTCCTAATGAGCGATAGCAAGGACAATGTCTCTCTCTTTGACCACACGTCTGGTGCCTCATTCGCTTCTGCTGCCACCGCTGAGCTTAGCGCTCTTTCCCAGTGGCAGACTCGTGACGCTGCTGCTCACCTAGCCGTTCGCAACCACCTGCCGTTAGCCGAACTCACGCATTTTGGCGAACACAAAACCGCTAAGGCCCTGTACGACGCTGTAGTTGCTCAATACTCCTCCCCTGCCACTGCTGCACTTAGCCGCCTCATGCTGCCCTACCTGTTTGCTGAGCTGTCCACCTTTGCCACAGTTGCCCATCATATCACCCACCTTCGCACTAGTGACATTCGCCTTCGCGCCGCCCTCCTCAAAGAGTTCTTAGCTAAGAACCCGCCTCCAATGTACTGGACCCTCCACTTCATAGTGACCTGTCTCCTTGACTCTCTTCGCTTGGTCAGGGACCACTTTGTCGCTCGCTGTCCCACCGATCTCACTGTCGACCTCCTAGAGGAGCAGCTTCTAGCCGCCGAGACTAGCATAGTCACTGTAGGTGCTGCTCGTGGCGCTTCTCGCACCCCCATCTTTGAGGGGTGCTCTCCCTCTCCCTTCGCCCCCTCCTACGCTACTGCCGGTGTTGTTGACTTCCTTGGTGCTGAGTCTGTTGGTGCTGCTTCTGTTCCTAGTGGGAGGCGCCGCAGCGGCAAGGGCAAGGGAGCCAAGAGTATCGGACGTGGCATTGGGGGTGGTGGTAGTGGAGGAGGTGGAGGAGGAGGAGGTGGCGGAGAGAGTGGTGGCGGGAGAGCTGGCGGGAGTGGTGGCGTCGGTGGCGGCGGTGGGAGTGGCGGTGGAGGCGGTGGCAGCGGAGGGGGTGAAGGCGGTGGTGGCGGCAGCGGTGTCGGTCGGGGCGGAGGCACTGGCGCTGGCCAGAGACAACAGCACCAGCAGCATCCCCGTGAGGCTCTTACGCCCAAGCAGCTTCGTGAGTGGCTTGCTCATCGTGGGACGTCTGGGGGTAGTGGTCGCTGCCCGTATGTCATTCGCACGGGTGACTGCGCTCGTCAAACATGCGGAAAGTTCCACACCCAACACCGCTGCTTCTCCCGCCTTGACGACGCCTGACGTGAGGAGATGGGCGAGGAGGTCGAGCGCCCTCGATGGCATGAGCTGCTTAAGGCTGGTGTAGACATCTTCCTCTTGACTATGATGCTATCCTTGCTGCCATGTATGCATTGACTGTTAGTGCTGAGGGAGACTGTCACTTGTGTGTGCCGCCTCACCCAGGTATAGAGGCTGTTACCTTAGGTGCGAGCGAGTCTGCTCTCTCAGGTACTCCGCCTGCTGAGGCCTTGCAGACCTTAACGCTTGACTCAGGTGCTTCCCGCTGTTTCTTTCGTGAAAGTACTGCACTCACACCACTCAGTGCACCTGTTGCAGTCTCTCTGGCTGACCCCTCAAGGGGCCCAGTTCTTGCACGGTCCACCACTATGCTCCCATGCCCGACGGTTCCGTCTGGCTCACTGTCAGGCCTCCACCTCCCCTCATTCTCTACGAACTTGGTGAGCAACGCAGTTCTCCAAGACCAGTGGGTTGACACCTTTACCCCTGGAGGACAGCGTGTGGCGATCTGTACATGCTCCCGGACCGGCCGCCACCTGGCCACGTTTACCCATCGGCCAGGGCCGAATCTTTACACACTAACGAGTGCGCATCCTCAGGTGACTGCTACTGGTCAGGTGTCTGCGTCAGGTCAGGTAGCCTCCCCTTGTTCGTGTCGCTCCTTGTCGCACCAGACTCTTCTTTGGGACCACCGTCTGGGTCACCCCTCCTTGCCACGTCTACGTGGCATGCACTGTCGCCTCCTTCTGTCTCGTCTTCCCAGGTCTCTCCCTCCCCTCCCTGCCTCGCCTGCGCCGCCCTGCCTTCCTTGCGTCGAGGGACGGCAGCGCGCCGCTCCTCACTCCTCAATCCCCCCAACAGAGGCTCCCCTGCAGTCCCTCCGCATGGACGTGTGGGGCCCAGCCCGCGTTCGTTGGCAGGGCGGTGCGCGGTACTTTCTGCTGGTTGTCGATGACTACTCGCGTTACACCACGGTCTTCCCCTTGTGCACCAAGGGTGAGGTCCCTGATGTCCTGATCCCTTGGATCCGAGCAGTTCGTCTCTAGCTCCACGAGCGGTTCCGCCAGGACCTCCCTGTCCTGCGTCTGCACTCTGACAGAGGTGGTGAGTTCTCCTCTGACCTCTTGCGGGCCTTCTGTAAGGGGGAGGGCATCCTCCAGTCGTTCACGCTTTCGAGCTCACCGCAGCAAAAAAGGGTTGCTGAGCGCCGCATTGGCTTGGTCATGGAGATCGCTCGTAGCTCCTTGATCCATGTGGCGGCTCCCCATTTTCTGTGGCTGTTTGCGGTCCGGTACGCCGCACAGCAGCTCAACCTCTAATCCCGTGTCTCCTTGCCGGAGACCTCGCCCACACTGCGTTGGACGGGAGAGGTTGGCGATGCGTTAGTGTTCCGGGTCTGGGGTTCTCGTCCCCTTGTCCGCAATACGTCCACGGACAAGCTCTCCTCCCGCACCATTCCCTGCGTCTTCCTCGGCTTCCCCCCTGACGCGCTTGAATGGCAGTTTTACCACCCCACCTCGCGCAGTGTTGTGTCCTCTCAGGACGTCACCTTTGATGAGTCGGTTCCTTTCTTCCATCTCTTCCCCTACCGCACTGCTCCTCTCCCTCCCTCGCCGCTTTTCCTAGCTCAAGGTCCCCCTCCGGTAGACCCCCTCCCCCCTCAGGGTCATGCTCCTTCAGGTGTGTCTCAGGTAGACCCACTCCTCTTCGCTGAGCCTGTAGAGGTCACTAGTGACTCAGGTGGTGCTGCGGGTGGTGCTTCTCGGGGTGCTTCGTCTGGGGGTGCTGAGCCTGTGCATGAGGTGCTGGGAGGTGCGGAGCCTGGGGGTGCTGAGCCTGTGCGTGTGGTGCTGGGGGGTGCGGAGCCTGGGGGTGCTGAGCCCGAGCGTGAGGTGCTGGGGGGTGCGGAGCCTGGGGTTGCTTAGCCGGAGGGTGCCGGGTCTGGAGGTGCTGAGTCTGCTGGCGCTTCTCCGGGTCTCTTTTCCGAATGGGTGCCTCTCTCACCACAACAGCTATGAGAGTGGCTTTCGTGGTGTGCCCGCTTGAGGAGTCGTGCTGCTAGAGGTACTGCTGCTCGAGGTGCTGCGGTTGGAGCTGCTGGTGCTGCTCGTCGTGGAGGCACTGAGAGTGCTGGTGTTTCTTGTTCTGGAGGTGTACTGGAAGTACTGGAGCTGCAAGGACTGGTGGTGCTACTTGAGCTGGAGGCCCTGG